CCCAAAACGCAAATTTCGAAAACATCTGCTCAGGATCGTACTGTTCTCTGAGACTCCTGAGAGAGACTCCCACTCCAACACATACCTCTTAATAACTGAGTTCGAGGGCCGTACTGTAAGTTACGGACGGAGTTTTCTCCCCATCGATTTATATGGCCTAAGCGCGAACGCGCGGGCCATAAATCGAAGGAGAACAACGAGGATCCGTAACTTACAGTACGGACCGAGTAAACGATGTTAGTAAGATATTTATTATATCTCTACTGTGTGTCTGACGGGTTCGGGAACGATTTCTATTCACACGGAACTGCTTCAAATTTCTGACGCACCTCGAAAGCTAAACGAGTCAAATTGAAATCGTTGCTAAGTGACTCTTAAGTCGTTAGCAGGTTTTAGTACACAAATCAGAAGTAAAGGAGAGTTTTAAACTTTTACTTGCTAAAAACGTTAAGAACACTTGGCGATAAATCGCGAAACATTTTGGCAACAAAAACAGCTTTAAATTTGACGGGCTGTACAGCAGAATACGGACCGCTAAACTGACCAATCACAGCGCTCGCACTAACTGAGAGATATAATAAAAGTGTCCTATTGTAAACTTCCCACGACAATATTAATTAGGATAAGTTCTTTAATAGATATAATCGCTGCGATCGATACAAAAATGTTCAGCAATCGTTGCGATACTATGGAAAGCACTATCCAGCGACATTGTGCTGCGTCGGCTGAGGAGAGTCAATAAAGGTGATCTGGAAAAGAAGACAAATCGAGCATTAGCTATCGTCTACCGTTTTTAGAATAGTAACATCAAGCGACTGACTCGAACATCACCCTTTCTATGAACCTGCGATCAAGTCAATTTTTCATGCTATTTATCCTTTCCACAAGGCCGTATGATCGCCGGTCGATTTAAGTGTCACTATAAAACCGGGTGCTCTAATCAGTTGAGCGTGAGTCTTTTTGACCATCGAGTCTAAGGTCGCGCCACACCGTACGCTGGAGAAATTTGGAAACGGTGTTTTCACTCTCAAAACGCCGGAGAAAATTAAACACGCAAAAATTACTGGTCATTTTGGATTTGTGTTTAAGGAAACTCGTCATCGGTTTCGAAAAGATCCTTTTTCAAACTGTTTTCCATCCACACTAAAACGGAAAGTCGGCGTTTCAAATTCCTCCTGTTTGAAGAACGTTTTCGAAAAGCTCCGTTTTCGTGACGGATTAGTGTTTACTGTAGGCCAAACCGTAGAAATAAAGCTGCGTTTTCAAATTTCTCCGCCGTAGTGTGGACAAAATTATCTTTTCAAAGTGTGGCCCGCCTTTACTCAAAGCACTATCTTACTCGCGCCTTAGGATTTACGTTCACCGCCAACCGTTTGATTGACAGCACCTCAAAACAGTGCACTCGCCGGAAGATAATAGCAGTCTTGAATGGGCGGTTACGTAACATATCAAACACGAAAGACCGCGTTTGACGACAGAATGAAGAGCGGTTGACTACAATCAACAATTTCCACGGCTGTCAAGTGACCATCAACTACCAGCTTAGCAAGAAGTTTCCCGAGCCGAGGTGCAGTGTTCCACAGGCAGAATCGATTGCAGATGATTGTTAAACTTTGATTGATGAGCCTATTAAAAACTTTCACTCTTTAGAACTGAGATTTACAGACATTCGAGTACAGTTTCATCACAGTTGTGTGATGTGTGACCATATGTGATGTTTAAGCGATCACATGTTTAACCACATGTCATTGTAAAGCCATTCAACTGCGCGTGACTAAACAAAAATATGTGTGTTATATGAAATGCAAAATTTCTTTGCCTTGTAGTATAAACAAAAACTAGCTGGGTTTCTTCGGGGTATTTGGGATAAATACCGGCTCGTGATATTTCAAAACTCCCCAAATATCACTCGCCCCGGCGGCTCGTGATATTTTGGTGAATTTTGAAATATCACTCGCGGTATTTATCCCAAATACCCCTAGAAACCGTGCTATTTCCTATACTAATTGGCCGTGTAACAGAAACACTTTTTAACATCCAAACAGTACCGCATAAAAAAGAAAATAAATTACCTCCAAATACAAAGATTCAAGAGACTGATCAACTGGTTTCACTTCGATTCGGTACGAGACGTTTTAAATGTGCGAACCGTCGAAAAGTTAGAGCTCCATTCGGCTGCTGAATTTCTTTGTGAACGAAAGTCAGTCAGCTCGAGGTTTTCAAACCCACAGAGTTTGCGGCAATCAAACACTCTGCCACCCTCCCGCCCAACAGATTTTTTTACCACCCAGATTCTGGGTGGTCACGTGACCAGCCGCAACCAAGGGTCTTTCTTGCAACGACCAAGGGAGGAAGAAGAGCGAGAGAGCCTGGGAACGAGGTTGCATATAATGTCCAAGGACAAATATCCGAGCATATTTTCGCGCCAAATCTGATTGCACTCTTATTAGTAGAATTTTACTTGTAGGTAAATATTCTGTATATGGTGATAATTTTATAGTTTTGGCAGAAAACATGTTCGCATGTTCGTTCACATGGACGTTGAACTGTGTAACAAGTTCACGGAAATAAATCAACAGTGCTAAACAACCACGAGGGAAGTTTACCCCGCTTCCTCTTTTGATAGAGTAATTTTACTTCTTACCCACCCTCCTTAGTAAGTAATTTTTCACTATGTATCCTCCCAACCGGCCAAATTATTGTAGCACTGGCAAGAATTATAAATTAAAAAATCATAAACACTACTAAATAATACGCATGTTGATTTTATTAAACAATTTTGTTCCAAACAAAAACTAAGGAGTTAACGGAGAAGTAAACTCGTCAAAATCTATGCTCATAAAGACCGGGTATCCAAACCTCCCCAAGGGCTGTGATTTTCTTTGTTTTAACTTGATGAATTATCAATAAGTTTGATGACCTATTTTCTCAAAACGATATTATGAATCTGATTACTATGAACTTTTGCTTCAAGCTTATATTAATTTATTTATCTTTAACAATTATTCGCCGAAGTTTTAATACAATTACTCAGGTGACTATAGAAATACCTAAGTAAAGGATCGATCGAAAAATGTTAAATTTTATTTCTTATTGTCATGCGTCAACGAACAACTACAGGTACAGATCCCATAGTTTAATACATCATATTG